TAAGGTATCTACTTTCCGCAAATTTATCACTTTATATATAACATGTTAATAATTAGGGTTTGTATGGCAAGATAAAACCAATCAAATAGAAAACCCTAATTCAAGACAAAATCAAGCATGAAAATGACACACTTGCACACAAACACCCCTAGGGTTAATCCACTTGGTTACCTTGAACAAAATGGTCATATTACGCATGTAAAGTATCTTAGCAAAACAAAAATAAAAAACAAGATCATAGTCCCTCGATGACGCTATTCAAAGTTGCCTTACAAACATGATCTTAGTCCCTCAAAATGCTAAGATACTTTGCAACATTGCTAATCATGGTTATACGATGACCCACGTCCGTCCCGTTTACATCAAAGATAGGGTTGCTTACCAAATCAATGGTAAGACAACAATTTCAAAGGAAAAGAAAATGAACAAGAAAGACATTTGAGTAGGTAGATTACTTCTAGTTACTTGCTCAATTCCAAAACAAATATCCTTGCTATTTTCAAAAATAAACACACACCTTTCCAGACATCTTACAAACATTGAAAACATTTTCAAAAAGACAAACATCTTTGTATACATTCTTACGAACGATAATCATTACAAAGATTGCCTAAACAATGGTCTCTTTTACAAAATACTTTCAAAACCACACAAAGCACAATTTCAAAACAAAAGTAAGTGATCTAGCAAGTAACTAAAAGCCCATAGAAAACCATGGATGAAAAGGGTGCTAATACCTTCCCTTTTCATAATCTACCCCCCGAACTCAAGAAACAATCTCAAAGGTCTTTCCTGTGCTTTTTCACCTTTCCTTTTGGATAAAAGAAAAGTCGGTGGCGACTCTTGCTAACCGCAACATTTGCGATAAAATGCAAAACCTTCAAGTCAGTTCTCCCACCGTATCACATATGTCAAAATGTCGAAGGAGATAGCCTCGACATAATTTTGACTTAGCATTGTTTTAGTTAGTTTGTTAGGGTGTTTAGTGAACAAGCAATCTGAGCCTATAAACAGAGAGATACCCTATTATTGTAATGAGTGTGAATCATAATATTGCAGTAAGCAAAAATAAAGAGCAGGTGGTTTTCTCTGTTGAATTCACAAATTCTTCTTCTTTCCCTTTCTTAAACCCTAATTCTCTTTTCTTTTCAAATTCAACTTTCTTCTCAAATTCAACTTTCTTCTCTCATAATTATGGTGCAGCAGAATCATCTTGTAAATAAGGTGTGATTGATTTGTTCGAGTGAAGAACAAGAGACAAAATTAATAGGAAGAATTAATTCTTATTCATTAAAATTGATTTGAAATTCTCCAAATTTTGATGTAACTTCAACATTATGGTCTTCCATTTTCATGAGATGTAGTTCCGGTTTGAGGTTAATTGAAAATTAAGAGAGAAAAAGAAGAGTGAAATATGTTGATAAGAAAAAGTGACGAAGAAATATAATGAAGATATTATTGATGGAGAAAGGGAAATAAATAAACAGATCAGTAATTTGTTGTAAAAAATGTTATTGTCTCTCATCTAATGTTAAATAAACTTCGATAGCACATGGGCTAGTAGGGTATCCATTTAGACTTAAAGTTTAGGGTTCAATTCCCCTTGCATAAAATTGTTTTTAATTTTAAATAAGTAAATTTTTCTAATTTTCTAAAAAGTATTATAATTAATAATTAATAAAAATAACGATGGATTAATAATTAATTTGGCTATGACATTGACTGTCGCGTCATTAAAATTTGACTTAAAAAAATAAAAATGAAGGACTTAAAACCCAAATTTTAAAATAAATAGATCAAAACCTTAAAAAAAATAAAAATAAAGAGATGAAAATTACAATCAAGCAAATGAGTGAACACTAATTTTATATTAATGTATTTATCTCGTATGAAAATTTTACAAATTAATAAAATAAAAAGAAACACTAAACTCTAAACCGTAAAACATAAAAATATTATGATTTCAAATGTTTGGGTCCCCTAATTTTATTTAGTCATATTTTTATATAAATTTTTATATACTTAATTATTAAAAATTATTTGAAAAAATTTGGTGGTGGTGGTGGTGGATTGTATTGTAATTACTTTTTAATAAAAATTAATATTAATATATATTTTTAGATGAAATAACATTTTATAATATTTTTTATTATATGTTTGTCTATGTTTTATATAATATTTTAAATTTCACTCCAACTTTATGTACTTTTTTATAAGCAAATTTAATTTACATATTAGTTTTTATATATAACATTTTAAATCTCAATTCTCCTTTATATTCTTGTTTTAATCAAATTTAATTTATATAAAAGTCCAATTTAATTAGATGACAATAAATTTAAAAGAAAATTAAATTAATATATTTAAAAGGAATGAAAATATGAAGGATAAGAACAAGACTGTGCAAAAAAACATAATATTAATCGGGAGTTACATTATTGAAAGATTAAGAATAAATATAATTAATAGTGAAATGCTGAAAGAATTTATTTAAAAATAAACTTATTAGAAATTTGAGAATAAATAGAGTTAAAATAAAAAGGGTGAAAAATTTAAGAAATTAACATTTAACCAAGACTTTAATATAACACATCACAATACACATTAAACCGTCCTAATGGATTTGGTAAGATGAGTATTATATCAGGGTGCATGATGTTTGTTTACACATATCCAATTTAATTACGAGAAAATTGATACAATTATAAAAAATAGATAAAATTTAGACAACATCTATTTTCATCTTTCATCTGCGTATTGTCCTATCTAAGATGAATAATTTGTCTGCTTTTACTAGTCTATATTATTCAAAAGAGATCAATATTCACGTAATTATAAAAATGAGATTTTTTTAACTAAGTTCGAGACACTTTCGTCGTCTCGTATTCAGTTCTTTAAATACCGAAACATACTCTTTTAGTGCATGATCGGTACCCGAGTTACCTTCACTTTCGTGATTGGTATTTATTTTAAGGACTTAGACTCTAAAATAATGTGTTATCTATTTCTCGTAATCAAACACAAATAAGATAAATATAACATAGGCATGTATATTTAACAATATAAGATAATAGAAATAACAATGTAAAAGATGAAACTTGATTGAAGATAAAAGTATTTGTATTAGATAAAAGAGAAAGATGCAAAATAATTTGAGTTCTACAGCTCTTTGACTGAAATTGCAAGAAGTAAACTAGTAACACTTAGAACATAAAAGCTAAAACAAGATGATGTAAAACGTCGTAAGGTCCCATAATCCATAGAATAATGTCTTATACATAATTTGGACCATTAATCATCTTAAATTCATATAAGTGCACTTAAAGACCATTAAACACTAAATTGAAATACCATGGAATCTCCAAATAAAGTTGTCAAACTCGTGAGTCTATTCGAACTCGTAAAGAATCTGCGGACTCGACTCACAGACTCGACTCATAAACTCGTATGAGTTTATTGAAAATTAAAAATTACTTTAAAAAACTTGTATGTGACACATATATGACATAGACATATACTTTTAAATCTATAAATATCTCATATATGACACTATATATAATAGAACACCAATTAACATTTAAAATTTCAATCTCATACTCCCTAACAAATTTCTTAACAACAAAACTCGATAATAAAACAAACAAAATATAAAAGTATGTAGTTAAAGACTTAAAGTACTAATTTCCTCTTAATTGACTAGTGGCTACTACATAAAACAAAATAAAAATCATAAAATGGCTTCAAACATCCAAAGCTCCGGTTAAATCATCACCACCAATATCATCATCATCACCTTCATTAGTATCTTGAGGTGCTTTAAATTTCCAGTGCAATCGCAATATCCGCAACTGCAACCACCCTCTCGACTGTAATTCAAAACTATGTCTATGCTCAAACGGTTCTAGCTTTATGTCAAAATAGATTATAAATTGAAGTGTTTTTAGGTTACTATCTTCAAGGTTGTCCACTCACCCTAGATTTCCTTACATCACTTGTACGCAAGTTTCTTATAATTATCATTAATAATTAATTAATTAGTAAAAATTGTAGCAAGTTTTCATGTGAGCAATGCATTATTTCAAAATAGACTAAAACATTTTATGCCATAAATCATAAATCTTCTAGACCATTGTCACATGCAATTTGATACATGGGGATTGGAATCAGTGGACATGATTGAACAATGGCACATCACTTTACATAAGAGAACATACAAGGAAGCATCCAAGTGAAAAATATAAGAAAATAATTGCACAATGAAGGATTGATTTACGACAAGGAATGAGAATAAATCAAGAGAAAGAACAAATGCAATCATGCCGCTGATGAAGGGAGGAAGAAACTTTACTGAAACAAGAGACTAGGAGAGATACTTTCTAATTCTCGTACAAGCAAAAAAAATGAAGGGTTTTTTAAATAAAATAAAATAGGGTTAATAGTCATTTCTCCTCCTTCCATTTGGGCGAGATTTAAAAAACACCCCCGTAAAAAAAAATTAGATTCCCACCTTGACATTTAAAGATTCTACTATTTTGGTCCTTCATTAAACCAAGTCATCAAAAAGTCTGATGTGGCACTGAATTTTTTCATTTTTTTTTAATATATATTCCACGTGTGTAAATGACTCATGAAAATAACAACTATACCCTCAGTTGTTCATCTTCCCTCTTGATAATCTGCCTCTTTCTTGATTTTTCACCTCTCTTTTTTCTCACAAAATCAAATCCATAAACTTATTCTAAACTTTCATCCCTAAAAGACAAGGATACTGAGTAACCATATGACTAATATCCCTCAGACTAACACCAATACTAACAAGATACTCCACGGAAGTGCTCATAGTCCCTTCAAACTTCAACCCTAAAATTTCAGGATATTTCTGCAACACAAACCCAATATCATCTTTCTCCACATCAAGCCTTCTAAAAAACTTAACAACAGTAGCAAGCTCAACAATAACACTAGCATGCAAAACCTGAGGAATCACATTTTTTCTTACACTACAACCCAAACATCAAAGGATACTGATTTATGTCATCAATCCTTAAATCGAATTTCCAAACTCTTATAACATATATCGAGAAAATCAAAACTAGAAAGAAAAAAAAGAAGTAAAAATTGAAAGACAAAGGGAGGGGTGCAGCGACAACAGCAGTAGTGTGAAGGTTCATTAATTGTGAACCAGATCTGTTACGGTAATAATTAGTGGTGTGGTGGTTCGTCAGTGGTGGACCAGATCTACAATGATAACAATTATTTGTGTGGTGATTCGTCGATGGTGGACCAGATCTGCGACGCCAATAGTTATTTGTGTGGTGGTTCGTTGGTGGTAGACCAAATCTGTGATAACAACAATTAGTTGTCTGGTGGTTAGTCATGGGTGGAGTGGATCTATGACATCGTATCTCTTTATTTTATCTCTCAATTTTTTGAAATTTATTTTTCTACAATTGATTCTGCCAATTATGTATTTAATTGTTACAAGAACTTAGGTTACTCAATTTTTGAGTTAGAGTTTTGTGAAATTTATTTTTCATACATGTGACTTCAATGAATCTGGAGGATGAAGAGAGAAGATGAAGATGATGAATAACTGAGGGTATAGTTGTCATTTTCGTGGGTCACACATGTGGAATATACATTAAATAAAAATGAAAAAAATCAATGTCACATCAGACTATTTGATGACTTGGTTTAATGAAGGGCCAAAATAGTGGAATCTTTAAATGACAAGGTGAGAATCTAATTTTTTTACGGGGGTGTTTCTCAAATCTCGTCCAAATGACAGGGGCCGAAATGACTATTAACCCAATAAAATATTATGGGGAATTTGGATTTTTTTTTGGGGTTTTAATAAAAAAATTAAAATTTAGTAAAACTTATAGACTCGTAAACTCACCATAGACTTGCGATTCTTTATAAGTTTGTGCGAGTCTACTCGAGTTTATCAAAAAGTGATCCTATATGTGATTCTACTCGTTTTTGCTTCCTAAACTCGCGCGAGTTTACGAGTCTACTCGCGAGTTTGACAACCATGCCTCCAAATGTCTAAAAAATGTTTCAAAACATCAAGACTTAGTAATTAGGATTGGGCTCAACACAAGTGTATTACCTGACACAGGGGGTCATACCAAACAACATGGCATGTGCCATGCAACACGCCAACCTAGCTCTGTTCCCCACTTCTTTGTATAGGGAAAGCTTTGTGGGCCAACAAAGCATGCGCCAGGTGACACAACCCAACCGTGTTGGTTGTGGGAATTTTGTATGATGGGTCTTCCTTTTTGCTTGATAGTTGACCTTTTTTACTTTGAGTTGGCTTGAAACTTCCTTATTACCTGAAAACAATGAAAAACACACCAAAGCGCATAAAATGGAAATAAAATAGGAAATCACACGACAAAACAAAAATAAAACAAGAAAAAACATAATGTATGTACCACATATCAGTAACACATATAGAAGGAAAAATGGTGGAGATAGACTTAGGCGGTCTGTGTATGTAGAGAGAAGACCTATAGATTTTATGGTAAGGAGATGAGTAAAACGGGTAGAGGTAGTGGAAGACCTAGAAAAATTATAAGTGAAGTTATTAAAAATATCTCAAGATTAATGATTTGAACAGAAGCACATTCCTGAACAATATATTATGGTGAAAGTTGATCCATGTAGCCAACTCCACTTAGTGGGAAAAAATTTAATTGTTGTTGTTGATGGTCGGGTAAAAAATACACAAATAGGTATTGTACCCCAAAATTTTCCCTCCCCTTTTTTCTCAAGATATGCTTTCAAAGACTCTCAAATACTCAATAATCTCAAGGGTTGATCAAGTCAAGATTCTACTCCTAAGCCAAAGGTCCACAACTAGGGTTTTGAATTTCTCAAGGAAATTTGGGTTGCAAAGGTCTCAAATGGTTTCCATGATTTTCCATAAGTCTTCAAAAATGTTCATGTCAAGTTTCAAGTGTTGCATCACAAGTTTGCTCAGTCAATGGCTCAGATGATTGAAAATCAATTGTATTGGGTAAAAAGTCAACTAGGTCAACATACAATCAAACTTCAAGATTTTTGTTAACATCAACATTTTAAATGGATACTCATCATTTGATCAAGGGTTGATCATGATTCCTCAAGGAAAGCCATCAAATTATCAAAAGTCAAGGATTGTCAAATTAGGGTTTTCTTAGGAGAAGTCAACTAAACTTTGACCAGGCATAACTTTCACATACTTCGTCAACTTTCCCCCAACCAAAGCTCACCTTTAAGAAAATTCAATTCCATACAACTTTGTTTTTTTGCTCAAGTCCAAAAAATACTTCATTTGAAAGATATGAGCTAAAACATTATAGGTCATTTTAAAAAGTCAACAAAAGACATTTTTTGTCAAGGTAACTTACATCAAGATAATGTCTTCAAAAGCAAAAATCATCAATATAGAGATTGTAGAGGACATCTTGATATTTCTAAAAAGTCCAAGTTCATCTTCAAAAGATGAAAATTGAGTAAGTTATGATTTTCACAAGTTAGGAGATTTTGAAGAAATTCATGAAGTTCAAATTGGGAAATTTTGAATCCTTGAACCAATAAGCCTAATTTTATAGACTCAAACGTGTTCATGATATGTTAGAGGACCCCTAAAACCATTCCATTATTTTGTATGATTTTTATTTATTTTATTTGAATTTTTATTCATTTAAAACCAACTAAATCAAAACAAAAAGTAAGGCTAATGGGCTTAGGCACATGTTTGGATCTGTGGGTCAAGAATGAAGCCCAAATATTCGTGTAACCCAGTAGCAATATGTTTAGGTCCATGTTGATTCAAAAGGGAAAGAACATTATAAGTTTGGAAATTTTTCAAATGATTCTTGTTTTAAAACCATGGTTAATGGGTTGATTCATTTCCATATTGGCCAAGCCTCATACTCCCTCTATATATACTGAGCTAAGGCAGACCAAAAAGAGGACGAAATCACTGCATAGCAAACCACACAAAATCTTCAAAATTTTCAAAGTTTAGGGTTAGCATCCAACTTGTGCCTCAACAATCTTCAAGCTGATCTAGGCCCATCGTCTTCCTAAGATCTCCAGGAGTCAGAAACGACCATCATCCTTCGCAAATCAAACACAGAAAGCACCCTCACATCAAGTCCGATTTGGTATAGTTTTTTGAGTTCAATCTGTTAAGATATACATTTTTAACCAATCTAACACATGCATACATGTTTATAGCAATATATAGAACATGTTTGATGTAATGCATATGGGCTTTAGCGCTTAAATCGCAGGATGTCATTGTTAGGGCTCCGGAGCTGTCGAGCTTCGAGCTAAATGATACAATGAGTTTCAGGCCAAACGAATTGTACCATTAAGCTCGCATGGTTTGTTTTAGTAGGATAGAATGTTTTTGGATCTTTGAAATTGACATTTTTGCAGGTTTGAGATTTTTGAGTGGCCTGAGGTTGACTCCGGCGTCCCTGAGATGAGTTGACTCCTGCCAGGGCTCACATGGAAGAAAGAAGCATTTCAATTGTATCATTCAATTTCCAAGGGACCCATTGGGACACGTGTATTTGACAATTTGAAACTAGCTGACATTTAGTGTTGTATTGTTATAGTTTGCTTATGCTAACAGATGAATCACGTCACCCTAGTGACAACACACGCACATTTAAGGCCTTCGTGCTCCTTGTCCTAGGTTCGAGTCAGGAGCAAGGCCTTTTTATTTTTCTTATGTTATTCTGACAGATCTGGTGCATACGGGTCTATTGCGCATACAATGCAACTCAAACATGGGCCATCTGATCTCAAGGTATCAAATCCAATACCCTTGTATCTGCAGGCATACCGTGAGACACAGGAATTCAGATGTATTGGATCACACGTAGCTTCTGGGTTCAGTTCTTGTTGGACCTAACAACTCTGGATTGCACCCCCTAACGTTTTTGCAACACAATCCTTTTTTTTATTATTTCATTTTCTATTTTATTCTTTTGTTTTCTTTTAATAATTAATTTATTTTAATAAAAATCACAAAATTAAATAAAAATTAGATTTAGAGTTTAATTAATTAACTTTAATTTTTTACAATAAAAATTAATTAATTAAAAACATTTTTGAGATTATTTTGTTAATTAAAATTGGTTAGAATTAGGTTAAAAGTTTTTTTTCTAATTAAAATTAAAAACAACAAAAACATTTTTTTATATTTAGAATTTTTAGGATTTTAGATATTTCCTATTTTTTCATTCTACGCGTGTTATTTATATTTTCACATTATTATTTTTTCTTAATTTATGTAATTGCCCCTAAGTTGTAATAGTTAAAATTAGGATTCATTTACATTTTTTCCCAATTTGGTTTGTACTCCCCCATTCTGAAGCGATGTAATAGCATAGTTTAATTCCCGTATCTTTATTTTTTCTGTATATATTTAACTGCTAGATGTATGCTAATAGGTTTGTATGACAAGATTTAAAAGCAAACGGTAGAAAACCTAAATATCCAAGATAAATAATTGAAACACAATACACTTTGCACACGCGCACCTCTAAGGTACCTCCACTTGTTGCCTTCGGAAAATAAATAGTCACGCCTCTCGAACGTGAGAAGTTTTAGCAAAGACCATTTGGTTACAGGATAACAGTCTCTCGATGGCCCTTCAATGTTGCCTCGGTAAATGATCTTGATATCTTAGGGTAATTGTTAAAATGTCTTACGAGTTGTCTTCGTGATTGTACGATGACCCTCGTCTGTCCCTCAAAACATCTAATGATAGGACTACCTACTAACTAATGGTAGGATAACACCATCTAAAGGAAAAGAGGAAAAGAACAAAGATCATTCAAGTAGGTAGACAGTTTATAGTTGCTTGCTCACAAAATAAAAACAAATTTCTCACACATACACTCCTTTGTACATCATTCCTAGTACTTTATGTTTGTATAGGGCAACTCAGGACTTTCTATAAGGCTGTAATTAGACAAGGACCTAGTCATTCACATTGAACTCCATATGCCGATGTTTCTCGTGACATAAAACTACATAGCTTGTTGAGCCTTGAGTAGATTAGCTTGTAATTAAGACAAGATCTCTTCATGATCAGCCAACTATGTCTGCAGTTCTGGAGGGTCATCTGATGTGCCTCTTGACCTCGCCAAATTAGGAGGATCACACCCGTAAAGAGACTTAAAAGAAGTCATGGTTGCACTGGTGTAATAAGCAGTGTTATATCAGTATTCTGCCCATGGTAGTGGCTTAGACCATTTGATGGGGTTGTCAAATGTAAGGCAACGTAAATACATCTCAACACATTTGTTGAGAACTTCAGACTGTCTGTCGGACTGTGGATGATATTCTGAAGTCATAGAGAGAGTGGTATTGTGAAGCTTAAAGAGGTGGCACCAGAAGTTACTAGTGAAGTCTTTATCACGATCGGATACAATAGAAGATGGAATTCCATGGAGTTTCACTATTTTCTGCATAAAGACCTCAGCTAATTTTTTATTATCAAAAGGAGAATAATAAGCTGAAATTCAAGGTAAAGTTCATTTATTTCAAGTTTCATTATCCACATTATTCTTGTTTTGAGGTTGAAAAAGCTTACGTTTATTACGGATATGTATTTTCGATTTCAGTATGAAAATATTCGAAAATGCATTTCCGAATCATGTATGTCTATATTTTCCACTAGTCAGTTTTCAATATTAGCTGTTTTTTAGTATTATATGTTATTTTTTTCATTAGATATGGTGCACCCTAATATTTAACCGAATGAGAATTGATACAAGATAGATTTTTGAAAGTTAGATGACAATATGAAATTCCACATCAAAGAGAAATTGAGGAAGATTTCATATCCGGAAATCAGACTTGAAACCACCCTCTCAACCGGTAAAAAAAGGTGCTCCAAAGAAGGTCAAAACTACTCCGAGTGACAATTCAAGGATGCAATCTCCTTTATATTTTGAACATGTTAACAAACTTTTTCCGGATTCACCAACTACGAAATCTAAAAAAAGTATTCTCGAAGGATCTCACTTTAGCAAACAATCTCATTCACCCCCCTTTATCAAAAATCTCATTTATTGATGAAATACTGGTTTTTATGCACAAGTATATTGAACGAATCATCAATGTAGAGGGTGATGGTAACTGGATTTCGAGCAGTGTCTGCTTTGCTCGGTAAAAGAGATGAAGGTCACACATTTGTCCTCCATCAACTTATCCAAGAGTTAAAGCCATAAAAAGTCCTATACGGGAAAAAAGAAAATTTATAAGCAATTTATCACTCTCTAGTTCCTTGCATTAGTGAACCTACACCGGAAGGTAAATGGACGTGCTTCCCTGAAATGTGTCATCTCATAAAAAATGTGTATGATAGAGTGTGTATTGGTCTTACAAGATACAGTTTCTCATTAACATTTTCCACTGCACACTGCACCACCTCAAAATCCAAGTGATTGTATTATGTGTGTTAGGTGATTTTCAAATTCGTGACATTTTGTTTAAATTTATTTAAAATTATGATGCCCTATACCATTAACATCACCAGAGTGGACAACTCATTCAACAACTAAAGCGAAGACTTGGCCGAATCTTTTTTTTTTTGAAAGGATGCAAGAGTTCATCAAATTAAGTGAGATTGAAAGAGAATCAAATGAACAAAAATCAAAAGAGATACCGCCCATAGTTATAGATTTAGTCGGAGACAAGTCTTTTGGTTCATTTTAGTTTTTCATTATCAATTTATTATATGTAACATTGTATTAATGTTAATGATGTCTAATATATATATTTTGAAGTTTGCCAAAAAATTATGCATTCATTATGTTGAGTAGTTCTGGAAATACATCTCCAGATTAAGATAACAAGATGGTATCGAAGATGCATTTTCAAAACAACCCATGGTACAAGATAGAATTTATGAGATCCATAATTATCTACAACTACTATAAATATGGGCCACTTGTCTCAATGTTTCATACTAAAATGATCATCAGAACGAACATCATTTGACATGTCGTAAATGTCCACTTAAACGGTACAAAACCCTCAATTAAATTTAAGATCAATGAATACACCCCTCTTGAAAATATGAAATACATACTGCTGGATCTCATACTTTACAAAAACAATGAAAAAATTATGAAGAACGAGTATCGTTCGCGGCCTGTTGACAACGAAGGAAAGATTGAGTTCAGCAACTTTGTACTGAAGACTAGTGTAGATTTAAGGGCTATGCGAAATATTTTTTTCTGTTTAGAATCAAAAGTCTTAATCGAGCTAGATGCAACGATTTCGAGATCACTCAAAGATATTATAAAGATGTTGCACGTCCACCCTGAATATTGAAATGTAATGTCTGATCTATGCTAGCATCACCTATGTGCTACTTTATTATGTTATTAATGGGATTTTTATTTTTGTCAACATGCACCTTTCTGGGTTTTCTTCTTTACTGTTTCTAGTATAATACGAAAATGCAACTTTGTATTGTTTACGAAGATGTATTTTCGAATGCAACATAACTACAAACATGTGGCATGTTTTAGATTCAGCTTAGGTTGTATGTTTTTGGGTGCGTTCGAAGATCTATCTCCAAAAACTGGAGGCATTATTTTATTTTCATGTGGTGTGTCAGTAACACATATGATACATTAAGAAATTCCCTATATTTTCTCGAGTCTACGAGAGATTTATTATCATGATTTGATTGGATAAAAACATTTTATACAGTGTTTTATGTTTTTTCTTGTAAAATAGATAACTATGTTTTAACACTTTTGTTAAGGTCAAATTTTATTAAAGTCTGTTTAGTAAAAATAGCGGTTGGTTGATAAGTTAGCGTATAGTTTATAGTTGATGGCTGATGACTGATAGCTTATAGTTTATAACTGATGATTAAGACTGATAGTTGATAAGCTAATTAAAGTGTTTGGTAAAATTGACGATTCAACAAACTTATAAACCTAAAATGACATAAAAGATATTTAATACATAATTATTCCATTTTAAATTAAAATAAATTATAAATGATAAAAAATAGATTTTTGATAAAATAATAAGTATAAAAAAAGAAGAAAAATGATAAGTTATAAATTATAAACTAAAACACTATTTAAAACAGCGTCTCGAAAATAAGCTATAAATATAAATTATAAATTCCTGATGAAAATACCGTTAACAAATAGATTAAAACTGTCATATGAACTTATAAACTACAACTTCAAAATTATATCTTCCCAAACAGAACCTTAATAGTTATGTTATTTGAAATAAATTAATTGAAGCTCAAAATTTATAATTTCATGATTATTTTTTATTGAAATAACTTCATTACTCATTAATACTATGATGTTGGTAATGAAAATATGCCATAATTACTATGTTTTTTAACAAATTTTTTTTGTACAAATTTATAATAATAATTTTATTACTTGCCTCTTAAGGCAATTTAATAACTCACAATAAACTCTTTTAGAAGAACTAGTAAAATACATTTGCGTTCGCATGAGTAAATTTATTTTATAATATATATATAGTAAATTTAAAATGAATTTTTAATTATAAAATAAATTGTGTTAAATAATCATACAAAAATAAAATAAAAAAAGACTCGTGAAATAGAGAAAGGTAAAATAAAATAAGAATTTTATGTCGCAAATAAAGACAATTATTAATTAAAATAGATATTTTTATTGATAATGGCCAGTGAGAAAAAAGAGAAATTTTGATATTTAAAAATAAGAATTTTGTATCTCAAATAAATACAATTATTAATTAAAATATTTTTTTTTTTGGCAAAAAGGGGCTTTAACCCAATAAAATAGATGGAAAATAGGTACAAAAATGAGAAGGACAAAAAGTGAAAACTTCAAACCTATCTAATTCTAAAATTAGAGATTTCAAACTTGTTTCGATTGAAATCCAAAACTACATTTGTGTGTAAATCAGACCACCACATAAAATTAGTAACTGATAAACCTAAATTAGATAAGTTAAACCTAAATTAGCTAACTTATCTGCACAATAATTTTCTTCCCTGAAAATATGAGTTGCCAAAAAATTAAAATCTCTAATGATGATCAAACAATTATCCCACCTATTCCGAAGCTTCCAAGGCACGACAGAAGAATCACTAAAAGCTCAAACAAGAAGCGTTGAATCCGTCTCCAACCACAAATTAGACCAATTACAAGAAATAACATAATTCATTGCCAAAATGGCGCCCATTGTCTCCCTAAATAGGACATTATTCGGAGGCAAATTACAAGCAAAACTCCCTATATGCTCACCAAAATGATTCCTAAAAATTCCACCACAAGCAGTTCTGATCGGAAGACCTCTGGAAGCCCCGTCGATATTGACTTTGATCCAACCAAAATGAAGGAGACTCCACAAAACCTCTTTCTAAATCTTGGACTTGGGAGGATGAATTTGAACAATAAAGTTTTTTTTAAAATAACAAACTCCGTTATAGAAGAGTTGGGTGAATGATTACACTTGTTGTCCGCCAAAGACGATGAAGAGATAATAGAATTGCAAGAAGACTTCCACAGAAGCACAATATTTTGAAATCGGGTCTGATTTCGCGCATGCCAGGTCGCCTTCATTGAGTTAACAACCGCCGCAGACAGCAATGTATTACACTGAGCAGAGACATTTTTTTCATGACCTTTTTGCAGTCCTCCAAACAAGAAATAACAGGACTGAAGCTTAACATTTGAGCCAACCAAGTCCAAACCGATCTAGCATAGTTACAGGAGAAAAATAAATGATCCAAATTCTCCTCCATTTTGAAGCAAAGGCTACAAACAGAAGGTAAGCTAAAACCCCTATGAAATAGCTTATCATCAATAGGGAGTTTTGCAAGAGTTAAGCGCCAGAAAAGCAAAGAGTTGGAAGGAGGAATCGTGTCATATCAGATAAGCCTGCCCTAGTTTGAAACCTGAGAATGACCTTTCATATGGATAAAAGCATCTTTTGTTGATAGCTGGCCAATGTCATTTAAATTCCACTTGAGTTTATCGGCTTGTAACACATTAGGACAAACCTCTGCGACCAACTGGGATAAATTCGAATGCAGGCTGACTAACAAGGAAGGCAGAATGATACATTTATTCTGAATAATATCACTCAAAGTAGATTTCAGATTGTTATGCCTATATTCAGGAATTTGCAAAAGCGATACTAACGATTGACCACACCAATTGTCCTTCCAAACGTTAATTTTATCCCCACTCCCAACTTTCCAAACCGAATTTTCATCAGAGTACTTATGCAGGCCTTGGTACCAGTCCATAAAGAAGAAACGTGGTACCGCACCTGAGATTTCAAAATAACACTCCAACTATGATCCTCATTAAAGATGGACCAACATTGCTCGAGATTAGTGGCTTCATTGATGGTTCTAAGAGACCTTAAACCCACACCTTCATCGATGGTTCTAAGAGACCTTAAACCCACACCTTCATTAATGTAATTATTACAGCACTGCTTCCAAGCCACGGTCACCCTCTTTCTACTTTGAATGTTGGCACTCCAAATAAAACTTTTACACCATTTTTCAACTAAATGAATGAGACTAGTAGGCCAGAATAAATTTTGATCGAGTGCAAAAGCATATTTTGAATGACACTTCTAACCAACTGAATTCTACCAGTAATGGACAAGAGACTCACCTTCCAAGCCACAAGCTTACTCTTTATCTTGTTAACAATAGGGAGAAAATAATAGCTTTGGGTCTCTCGTTGAAAATAGGAACACCCAGATAATAGAAAGGAAAGTGCCCCGCTAAGAATCCAATCCTGCCAACTAGAAGATTGTGTCTAGAAGGAAAAATAGAACCAGCATACAAAATGGATTTAGACGGATTACAAATTTGACCGGTGCAAGCAGCATATCTCGTGAAAAGATCAACAAGAGCATCTAGAGTGCTAGTGCAACCTTTAATGAATATCATGATGTCGTCGGCATACAAAGCATGGGAAGGAACTGTCATACCTCTGCACAATTAAATTAACTTAATTTTCTTCTGAGAAACCATGTGAGACAAACCTTTGCTAAGCACATCTTCTGCAATGCAAAATTACAACGAGGACAAAAGATCACCATACCTAACACCTCTCAGACAACTAAAGAAACCATGTAGATCACCATTAATGGATATAGATATCTTAGCAAACTCAAGAATCTTTTTGATCCATAAACAAAAAGTTGCATTGAAACCAAACGCCTTAAGCACCTTTAAGAGAAAAGCCCAATCCAAAGTGTCAAAAGCCTTTGCGATATTCACCTTCATCATTAAATTACCAACCACAGATTTCTTAGCAAACTGAGTTAATCTGTCTGCCAAATAGATATCTTGTTGATAAAAATAGATATTTTATTGATAGTGGTCCGCGAGAAAAAATAGTTGACATATAAAAATAAAAAAATTGTACTTTAAATAAATAAAGATAATTATTAATTATAATAAAATAAATATTTTACTGATAGTGACTCGTAAGAAAGAAAAAAAGAAATTTTGACCTATAAAAAAAGAGTTGTCTCAAATAAAGATATTTGTTAATTAAAATAAAATATTTTATTGATAGTGATCTATGAAAAAAAGAAAAATTTTGACATTTGAACATAAGAATTTTATATCTGAAATAATAAAAATTATTAATTAAAATAAAATAAATATTTTTTGATAATGATCTATTAGATAAAAAAATTGTGTGTATGACTATAAAGTATTATCTCATTTCATAAATTCTTAATTTTATTAAAATTTAAAAATAGATTAGTTAATATTTTTAATAATAATAAATAAATAAAATTAATTAAATTTATCGTAAAAACAAAACTACATGTAAATATCGTATACATACACCAATAAATATTTAATATGGTAATCATATACTATAATTAAACATTTTAATATATTAAAAATAATTAAGAGAAAATAAAATAATTAGGTAGAAAAGATAAAATAATAAAATGAAAAGAGAAAGAAGATAGTGAGTGAAAGAGTGTGAGAAATAGAGAAAAAAAGTGAAAGTTGAAAAATTATCAAAAAGGAACTTGACACTTTGTATCATTTGTTTGAATTAAAGGTAAATTAATTGAGAGATTAAGTTTTGACTATTTTAACCTTTTGCAAGTTTAAAAAAATTTAAATAGAAAGGTATTATTGATAGTTTACATGCATGCTTTTTTAATTGATAGATAGTTGATTGATAATTGATTGAATTCTCCTCCCATATAAAACATACAAAGACTCTCCTTCTATCATCTTTATGTACAAGATGCACACTCTTGTGCCGGTTTGTCTGTTTTTTTTTAATGCGCATCTGTGAAAATATAAGTAATTTTTTATTTAAATTTATTTTTAAAAAAACACTATGTTTGGCAGTATTAACAAATGTTGTGCCTTTATCAAATCCCTCCAACAAAATAATCCGCACGGCTTCTCATCCATGTTGTAGGGTAAAACTCAGCTGAAAATCATGATTGTAATTATTAACATGCATGACTTCCTTGTGCCTAGAGGCTAGTTTGTCGATTCAAACTTCAAAACAAAAGGAAAGGAAAGAGAGGAAATACATACTTCTTCCCTTTTCTGTTTAGTGAATTGATCGTAGAACGAATGAGATAAGATCCATTTTTCCTGGTGGTCGTCCAATACCTAATAAAATCAACAAAAAATCGACAAATATTATATGCGAAAGTATTATAGATAAACATTTCAATCCTAAGAACGACATGAACTTACCAAATTCTTAAGCAAGGAAAACCAGAATTCCCTTTTAAGTGATTAATAACACTTTTCATTCTGCAAGAAAAACAGAACTAGTAATGCTTAATATAAACTCAATAGGATGTCTAGCCAAACCCAAACAAATGATGCAATGGAGCAAAAAGAGAGTGAAACTAACGATCATGTCGTCAAAGATCTGAAAAGAAAAATATTGGTTGAAATGAACACTCAAGCAGATCATCCTTCGAATTTTTCTTCATGTGTTGCAAATAAAAGAGCATAGTCATAGCATAGATATTATACTACAATTACTTGCTTCAATGGAATCTTGTAATATGAAACTATGGCCCCAACCTTCAAAATAGATTCCAACACCAGAAACTCAGCAACAAAATAGAAAGTATTTATTAAATTATTATTATAATAAATTCCTAGAACTAGAAGCATGGATACAACAAAGGACAGGAATATGTGCTACTGCCTCCATATGGACAAGGGGACACAACAAACTTTTCAAACTATAAGACGAGACACAACTATACTACATATATAAAATTAGCCTAAAATTAATATATAAACACAAATCTTAAATCAAAAAAGAGAAATGAGCGTATATGATTCCACATATACACACATTAAAATCCCATCACTTACTTATTATTATGGTATTGTCATATGGGGAAAAAAAGAGGGCTATTGTTAGGATAGAAGAGAAGGGGACAGCTGCAGAAGTTAGTTAGAAGGGATAAGTTAGATAAATAAATAGGGGGCGTGACGGCAGAGGGATAATTCGAATTTGTCGGCATTGGATGAACAGAGTCATGGCTCAGTTGTAAGAGGAAACCCATATAGGTGAATTATTTATTCTATTCATACTCTTCAGTAAACTGTTCATCTCCTTTCATTGGTTATATCAATTTCCATTTCTCTAGACATAAGACTTACAGATTCACCACTTGCATTCATAAAAGTTTGTGGTTTTGCAAGTAACAATGGTACATCGCCTATAAAACCTGCAATAGAGAAACAGCTGTTACAAATGCGTACATGCAAAGTAATTGAGAAAAGTATTTAGTTATTGGTTTTTCTCTTTATTTTTCTAGTGGGATGTAATCCAAAGATTTAATCTTCAGAAATTAAGGTAGCAGCACAAAATGAAATCATATTTAGAGTGTTCTACAGTACCCATGGATATCCCTTCAGCTTCCGCTATAGCATCAACCATCTCAAATCCCACCTGAATCAAAACAAAAACTAACATTGTGGCGTGTAGCAGCGAACTTTTTACCTGGATTACCGAGGCCGACGATTAACCAGGGTTCTTTCTTCTTCGACTTTGTCGGTTCACTGGTGGTGGTGGTGGTTATGGATGGAACCGTAACATCGTTCAGAAATGAAAACCCTAATTTTTTAGTAACGAAAAAAAACCAATTAGGGTTCGGTTTGGAGAAACAAAAATCGCGAGGAATGAAATTTGAAAAAAAACAAAATTCGCCGTTGCCGGGGATCGAACAAAAAAACCAATTAGGGTTCGGTTTGGAGAAACAAAAATCGCGAGGAATGAAATTTGAAAAAAAACAAAATTCGCCGTTGCCGGGGATCGAACCCGGGTCACCTGCGTGACAGGCAGGAATACTTACCACTATACTACAACGACTTGTTGATATGTGGTGGTAACTATTCTTATAAATTAAGCTTCTGCCGTGGTAATATTCCCATTTGTATTGGTATTAGAAGTAAAAATTCAAAATACTACACACAAGTTGTATGATATAGCTAAGGGATATTTGAAGTATATGCCACCAATTGTTTGTTTACTAGCTATTGATAACTACAAAGCACTACCTTCTAGCGTTACCCTACGGAATGTCAAGTTTGAGCTGTCAAATACCAAATAAAAAAATCACGACTGCTCAAACACCAGCGGATTCTGCCATTCCCTGACATTTAAAAATTTATGAATTTCTAACTGTATACAAATCTTAAATCAAACTATTTAAATAACAAAAAAAAAATGATATGGACTCCTGTGTTTTCTTTTCCGCATGGTTTTCCTATCCAAATGTATCCTCCTAACTTGACCACAATTAATTTGTCCAGTTTAAAAAATTGTAATTTGGTTGATTATGCTTTCCCCCCCATTAAGTCATGGAAATTCGAGTAATAGTCTTTTCCCCAAATATATAGAATTAAGTCATATGCCATGGAGGAAACAGTTTATTTCAAAACTTCTGTCCCACTCCATTCTTACATCTGAAGATTCTCTAGACATGAGACTTACAGATTCACCACTTGCATTCATAAATGTCTGTGGTTTTGCAAGTAATACTGGTACATCGCCTATAAAACCTGCAATAGGAAAACAGCTGTTACAAATGGGTACATGCAAACTAATTGAGAAATGTATGAAGTTATAAGATTTTCTCTTTTATTTTTCTAGTGGGATGTAATCCAAAGATTTAATATCCAGAAATTAAGGTAGCAGCAGAAAATGAAATCATATTTAGAGTAAATAGCCTTTTCTAGAGTACCAAAACGGACATAATTTCGGAAACATGGTAGCCATGTGGCATTACTAACTAAAAGACCAATCGAGATGCCATTATCAAAATAACTTTTTGGTAAAAGATGGCTACGCTCAATAGGGTAATTCAATATTAGTACCAATTATCACGATGCTTCACTCAGAACTGAATCCAAAATGTAGGTGGTGATGGCAAATGACTCAAGACGTCAGACTTTATACATAAAAAAGCATGGCAAGTCAGATCAAAGAGAAAGGAAGATTTGAAATACAAATGGAGTCCTGGTCTAAATCCAAATTGTTGTAATGCATATTTGACAAGGGATGCAGAATGAACTCAATCAACAGCGTAATATGAAAATTACTTTCATGCAATATGACACTGTAATTTGTTATACAAAACAAAAATTAAACGTAATAAACATTGTAAAGTAAACTTAAATTAAATCTCTATAATTTTAGACAAGGTTATAACTGATAATACTACGAATGTCATTATACAAAATAAATCCCTACTTATGGCAATATCTATGAGTATGAGCAAGAAAGAAAGCATAGTTTTACCAACAGTTTGAATTTGATATTGGTTGTTAAGAAAAACAAAACGTCGAGCTTTCTCCAAGTGGCAAAGCTTGCACAGTGATTTGAAAGAAGATATAAAAAAGTCGATTTTTCATAGAGTTTCATCTGAAAAGCCTAATCAAGTGTGCAAACTACTCAAGCCCATATGGACTCAAGCAAGCTAGTAGAAATTGATGTGAAAAACTAACTTCTCTAATACCATCTTAACAATCAAACATCTCATATATAAGAACAATAAAATAAAATACACAAACCAAAAACCATCAAAGTAACAAACTCTACAAAAAAAAAAAAAACAAATTAATTATGAATTTTTTACCTTTTCCAAAAAGAGCTTTGAAGGAAACAGTACTCATAGATATCCCTTCAGCTTCAGCTATAGCATCAACCATTTCAAATCCCACCTGAATGAATCAAAACAGAGTCCAAATCAAAGAAAACTAAATCAAAAACAAAAAGTAACACAAGCACATGAATACGATACTAACATTGTGGCGTGTAGCAGCGTACTTTTTACCGGGATTACCGAGGCCGACGATCAACCAGGGTTCGTTCTTCTTCGAGTTTGTGGGTTCAGTGGTGGTGGTGGCAATGGATGAAGCTGAGGAATTTCGAACAGATAACAAACGCATATTGAAACGCGTAGAGATTAGGGGTTTTCTGAAGTTCCAGATTGGAAATTGGAACCGTAGAATCGAACATGTTCCAATGTTCATCGTTCAGAAATGAAAACCCTAATTTTTTAGGAACGAAAAAAAACCAATTAGGGTTCGGTTTGGAGGAACAAAAATAGCGTTGAATGAAAATTGAGAAAAACAAAAATTCGCCGTTGCCGGGGATCGAACCCGGGTCACCCGGGTGACAGGCGGGAATACTTACCACTATACTACAACGACTTGTTGACATCTGCGGTACAAACAATGTACCACTTTTTCATTTCATTAAGACTGGTCTAGTTTCATTCGGTCATTTAAACATTATTATTGTGAAGATGGCTAACTTTTTTAATCATTTCTGCAAAATATTTTGTTCAACTTATACGTATATGTATCTTTTGATCCAACTATTATATGTGCCAATATTAATATTATATATTCTCTATCATACGACAAAGTAATCTTACTCATATTTGATAAATTCTCATTCTACTAGTTGAAAATGTCAACTATTATACTAATAAAAAATATTAACAATTTATTCTAAATTATAAACTTTCGATTCTTTTTTCTTGAGTTTCAGTGAATTTCATTTTATCTGTTTCTTTTTTTTCTTTTCATTTTTTTAATTTTGTATATATTTTATTCATCGCATTTTTAGAGTAATCTTTTATGAGAGTTTTTCCTAAGTTTTTTATTTTCCAAATACCACTTCTATCTCTTTCATGTTTTTTATTAAAGAAGATATTTATTCATTCAAATTGAAAAATATATAAATCATTATAAATTCAAGATTGTTAACAACTGTAAAAGATGAATCTGAAAATTAATCTTACAGCACTTAGGTTAATAACATACAACGGTAACATAAAAGTGTTTACAAATATGACAAATAAAAATAATTGGAATATTTATATTTCGGGGTCTGCAACATTGACGCACAAGTCTCTATCGGATCTGCAATGAATTAAAGTGAATATGTCATTTGAACTAACGAACATCGTACTAAGACATAAAAAATCAACAAATGTCACACAAGACGACGTAAACTTACAAATACAAAAAAAGAATAAGCAAATCTGTGTGAATAACCATGTGTTTAAATAAAAAAGAGGAAGAAAAAAACAGTGTTGAGGGTTGATTTCAAGTCAAAAATGACCAAAAACCACCCCTACCCATAAGATGAGAGAATGAAAAGAGAGAGAAAATTTGACATTCATATTCTATATAGAGAATATACCGTTTTTACAAGAAAAAATTCTCTCTTTCATTTACAGTTGTTGTTTTATCTCCTTTATTTTAGTCATGGCTAATATAGGGGGTGAACTATAGAATGTCATAGAAATATCCAGTGGTGATAATATAAGTGGTGTTTCATCTTACACTAGGGTAGTAGACCCAGAAATGTTGAATGTTGATTTTTTGGTAATTGCCCGTCCCATTTCAAACCTTTTTGTTCTTAGTAATGGTTTTGGGGCTAGTTGGGGTTCCATCGAAGATGGTAGTGAACCATTAAGTCCTCTCTTTGGTGGAAACATCAATGCTTTTGCAGAAGAAGTCGAAAGGATAAGCCTAAACCATCCCTTTGTACGGGGTATTGGTCCCTCCTCATCCATGTTACCCATGATGGATCTTGAGTCAGTTGAACATGTCACGATGACACAGGGGTTCATGCTTTCGTTAAAGATTTTCGGTCTTTGAATGGTCAAAAACCCAGTGGTAGTGAGGTTTAGGAGCATCTCAATTTTTAGGATCATTTCCAAATTCATGATGAATATTATCTTTCTTTTTTTTTACAATGGGGTAGACATGATTTGAAAAGATCGACTTGGTCTTGTGTTGCCCGCCGATGTTGCTCAATATTTGGTGGGATGGTTTCCACCTTCAGCGACACTTAAAGTTTCAAGGATGCTTATTTGGGCGTAAGGTCGTCTTAAAACTGGTTTGTCTCCCCCTGTTGACCCTATCTAAAGGGTATGTAGTTCTTTTGATGGATGTTTAGTGCTTTTTTATGAATGTATGTTTTCCATATTGAGGTTTAGACTACCTTTTAACAATTTCGAGGTACAAGTTTTAAATCATATGAGGATTGCAATGTACCAGTTGCACATGGTAGTTTGGGCCTTTGTTAAGGTGTTTCAATACTAGTGTGAGTACTGGGAGGAGTGCCAACCCTAAGATTATTCTTAAACCTCTTCAAGGCGTCACACAATTTTGCTCGAGAATGGTTGCTCTCGCTTCGTAATCCAGTGAAGAAGACTGATGTTTACCTCAAGAGTTGGGAAGATTTTAAGGGTCACTACTTCTTGGTTACTCCCCAAAATCGAGAAGCTCATTCCTCTTTCTACATTCTTCTTAAGGGTTGTCCCTTTGGTCCCCTTGTTCAGAGTTGGCGAAATACAGGAATGGGATTCAAAAATGTTGGCCCATGATCATTTCTTTCGGCCTCTGAAAAGTTATGATTTTGCTTCAGTCTCTCTAACATTGGAAAAAGAGACGCTGAAAGAGGATATGTTCACCTTTTGGAATAACTTGGGATAAGAAGAGGGTGAAGGCCATTCAGATGTATCACCTAACCAAGAGAAGAGGTGGTACATCGATACATGGTTCACCGTAGAAGCAGCCATTGCTCAAGAGAGAAATGATCTTTTTATTGAGAGGAATAAATTGTCATTTATTTTGTCTTTAATATCCTATTAGTTGTTTTTTTCTCAAACTCTTTTTATTTGTCTTGCAAATAACTTGTGGATCGGCTTGCGATATATTTAAGAGGAAGAAAGCTCAGGCAGCAAAAAATGCTTCCTCGTCTCATTCTATGAATTCCAATATACACTTTGCTTATGTGGCATTCTCATTAATTTCTCAATCTAATATGATAACGTGTCATAATCGCATAATTGCAATTTTCCCTCTATTTTCATTTTTTTAAGTTTTGATCCCGCTATTTTAAAATTTGGATTTTCAGTCCCTCATTTTCATTTATTTTCGATATTTTAGTCTCCCTTCTAATTTAAATTCAAATTTTAATGATGTGACAGTCAACTTGATGATGGGCCACTACCACGTTTGCGATTATTAATTTGAAGTCTTTTTTATTTATAATTATTTTTAAAAAAACTAGAAATTAACTATTTAATATTAGAAAACCATAAATTCCAAGTAATTTTTTATTACTTTTTAATTATAATCATTTAAAAAATAGAAATTAACTATTTAATATTAGAAAACCAAAAATTTCATGGACAAGGGAAACAAACAACTATACCTCTTCTAGGGCGCCACTCTTTCCATTATGCCACCAAGGTTCACTTAGAATCTAGTGGCACAAAATTTATATATAACATTTAAATTTCTGTTTTCTCTATTACATAATAAACATATGGTTTCTCATTTCCAATCCCACTACAACTTAGCCATTTGACACCATATAACACAGGTTCTGAAAAAATATTTTGAATACTAGACGAAAATATTGATTTGAAATTGTATCAAATGTTCCAGGCTTCATAGTGAGAGGACAAGTAAATAATCATGCTTTCATCAAGTTCCAAATAGTATGCTTCAATATCAATTTTATGTTTTGTTATTTGTTTATTTATTTCTCTTTCTTCATCAATAATTTTTCATCAAATAAATAATTATTGAGAAGTACGCCATTGTGATACAGTGGGAGAACTGACTTGATTATTTTGCGTTTTATCGTAAATGTTGCGGTTAGCAAGAGTCGCGATCAGCTTTTCTTTTATCCAAAAGGAAAGGTAAAAAGTACAGGAAAGACCTTTGAGATTGTTTCTTGAGTTCAGGGGGTAGATTATGAAAAGGGAAGGTATTAGCATCCTTTTCATCCATGGTTTTCCATGGGCTCTTAGTTACTTGCTAGATCACTTGCTTTTGTTTGAAATTGTGCTTTGTGTGGTTTTTTGAAAGTATTTTTTAAAAGAGGCCATTGTTTAAGCAATCTTTGTAATGATTCGTGTTTGTAAGAATGTATACAAAGATGTTTGTCTTTTTGAAAATGTTTTCAATGTTTGTAAGATGTTTGAAAGTGTGTAGGTGTTTGTTTTGAAAATAGCAAGGATATTTGTTTTGAAATGGAGCAAGTAACTAGAAGTAATCTACCTACTCAAATGTCTTTCTTGTTCATTTTTCTTTTCCTTTGATATTGTTGTCTTACCATTGATTTGGCAAATAACCCTATCTTTGGATGTAAGCGGGACGACGCGAGTCATCGTATAACCATGATTAGCAATGTTGCAAAGTATCTTAGCATTTTTGAGGGACTAAGATCATAGCCCCTGACTCAAGTCATTGTGTTTTGATCTCTAGACGATATTGGCTAGAGGAAAATAAATCCCCCTTTCCCCTTGCTAGACATTTGATTTACCATAACCTGCATCACAAACCCTTGAGATCCTTGAAATGGTTAAGGAAATGTTAAGGCATGATGTTATGGTGTGTATGCTATGCGTTTAAGCAAAAGTGTGAGGTGCTGTAAGTAAACCCTGCAATAAATCCAAATTATTGGATAAGGACTGTAAACAGAACCTGCAAGGAACTTATGTTGTTAGATAACAAACATGCGCAAGTAGTTCAAGTTGAAAGCACACAAGTCACACAATAGCCCTTAAATTTCAGGCTGGCATGGAGTTTAGGTACTACCCTCTTTCAGTTTAGTTGGTTCAACCTGTCCTAGTAATAGTAACCGGGTTCTAGAGGATCTCAATATCACTGACCACCCTCGATCGGTCATAATTCCAGTTTAGCAACATTTTCTTGCGGCCGGAATCATCGCGAGAGTTTGGTCTCAATGAGTGTAGCATACTGCTACTTTTCTATGGCCAAGTTGGTCAATTATAGGTTCTAAGGTTAGTTGGTGCTTAATGACCCCTTAGCAGCCCCATATTCTCCTTGTTCCACCACAAGGGATATCAGTACAAACTAAAGTGTCACACCAACGTAGCTATTGCTTCAACCGTATCGGTCTACGCCGTACAGTTCCCTCACAGTCTATTGCTACTTACCTAAAAGGCATCCCAAGATCCGGGTTAGGATCTATAGTA